TGATTCTAGGTTTTCATTAGTGATCAGACATCAGTCGATTCATGATCTCAAATGGAAACTTTGCCGACAACTATAGTCTAATTCTCATCCTGTCACTTTTCAGTTTTGTATGAAGACTATAATAACACACAGTTCCTCAACTTTCGAAATTTCATCAGTAAAATGTTAAATTTTATTCAGTTTTTAAATAGGATGTTATACTACATTCATTTATATAAATAACTGGACTGACGTTAGACAGTCCACTTGTTACATGCTCTATCAATCTCTACCTCTTTCATACATCTCCCCAATTCTATTTCACAGTACCTGAACAACAGTGGTTCAACAGTGTATGACATCCTGAAGACTGCTACGAAATTTCACTCTAGTATGATCAAAGGTTTAAATGTAGCGAAAAGCTGACAAATCAAACAGGTTAAACTTGTAGATATGTCGAATAAATGCAGAGATTTTTGGTAAAATGCAACATTCAATATGTTTGCTCAAAAACTTATCAAGTCAATAATTTTCACAATTCATTTGCATATACAGAGAATATTCTCAGACAGTTTCGACTCATTCACATAACAGCTTTGATGGAGAAGGCCTGAGATAATGTGCAGCTTAAGTATCAGTTAAAATACAATGGTGATCATTGAGCTATCAATAGCTACTTGTAACTGTTCAACATGGGATTTTCTCGACTCCATCATGAACTTAACCAAGGCTATCACCTCGAGTTGACATTGCTGAAAGTCTGACATTACTGAGTTATTTCGTTCTAACTTTAGAATTTACCAGTATGTACTAATAACCTACCCATCGGTTAAACTGAACGACGATTCGATTGGAGAAAATGTTAGACTTCAGTAAATTTTTTGCTGTAATAGTTCTTCTACCAGACAAACAGGCAACTTAGAAGACGAAGACTAGGCTGAAGAATCCTGCACAATAATTAACATTTACAATTACGTTCAGAAACACACTCAGTCCAGTGTGAATTCTAACTAATGACCAGCCATTACCCAACAAGTCACTGAATCACTTCACACCGCAACTGTCACCTTCGAGCAAAGAACCCTCTTCAAATACCATCATAGGCGTTGGTTATTTAAACATATCACAAGTAACTATTGTATATCCACTATTTATTAAGTGTCTAATACTTTTACTTATGAAGAAATATGTCGATATTGCCTGAGTAATAATGACAAGTGCAATATAAATAAATAACTTTACATATATCATTTAAATTTACAAGTGTCATATCATATTAGTTGCTGTCAATCACTGCCCACAACTATGACAGTACATTAAACATATAAACATTAATCGATTATTCATACTTCCCATTTACCCTTATTTAGTCAGTAATTTCATTCCATGTACTACTGTAGTGTGTGCTACTTATATTGACATAAGTAGTATATGATGTTAGTCGTGAACAGAATGTCTGGTAGCAGAGAGACAAGAGGATCAAACAGTAAAGAATGGAAAGAGAATGCAATTTGTATGAAAATGCAAGAATAATGAAGTCTGAGTCATTTTAAGACAACTGGTGAACATTTTGCAAATTAATCATTTACTTTATGATTGTCCTGTGAGTGTGTGTTAAATGCGTTCGATTGTCTCCACCCATGTTCTGTTCACCGCACTACGTCTAAAAACGAAGTTAAGGCATTGACATGAAAACACCGTTTATACAACAGTCATACAATCGAATTGTATCATTTTTCAAATGAGCAATGTTTAATTAGTTTTGAATGTACTCACAATCCTACTTGAATAATTCTCTTCAATGTATAATAAGTGATAAAACTACAGAATTCTGAGTTTTGTCACATCAGTAAAACAATGACTGCTATATATTTTCAATAAACGACTATTCACTCGTAAATGTTTGATTGTGAGCAAGATGAATCACATTGCTGTTTAGAGTAAGCAGCTGGTTAACATTCAACGGTCGTCAAAAAGATACTGGATGGATACATCTCGGTTTCAGTGAACGACCCTGAGCTATATTATCCAAGGTCTCTAGACACTGATGATAAATGCCACTTCGACCCGAGCCACGTAGTTTGAATTTAACAACATGGCCCAGAACGATGGTCAATTTCTTCATAAGTTGATGCTTTATCTTGACTCAGCCGCCTCGGACTTTATTTCAGCGTACTCCTAAACCAGAAGAAATCGCCTGTTAAGGTATGTGTGATTAGGTACACGTGATATATGCTCTAACCACTACACCTTGTGACGAAAACTGACCTCATCAGCCGATTTGCCACGTTTGTCAAGTACCACATACCAAACACTAAACTCGCCCACTCGCTAGTTCCACTAAACTCAAGTAATACTTCGAAAACAAATGCAGTACGAGAACCTATGTGAATCCACCTCTGTCAAAGCTTATGAGCTGATCATCAGCTTACTGACTGCTTCAATTATAAACTACATTTTCCTGTGTATTCTGATTTCACGGTATCATTTTCAATCGACTTGTGGATTCATCTACTATAAAAAAAGTAGTCGTCGTTAAACATTCAATGAATCACATCAAAATACATCAGAGAGAAAGGACGCAGTTCTAATACCCATTTTGAAGTGAATCTATCCGACTTTCGAAAAATACAAAATGGATGGAGTCAGATTGAAAGTTCATGAAGTCTAGGTCCATTTTCTATCAACAATCTTCAGTAAAAAATATCTAAAAACGAACTTATATTACCACAGTTACTATGCTGCAAATCAGTGACAGATATTATTATGGTGGTATTCGTCCCGAATTTTTCTCAGTGTAGAAACCTAAATATTCACATCACTTAATTGCCAAATAAAACTCATTCATATACATTCTAGTCTTTAATCCACGGATCACTGTATCAGTGTTTGAGGTGTTCCAGTCTCAACTAAAAAGTCACAGGTTCAAACCCCACTGTACTTACATCAGTTTGGACATGAAATTGGAATCTTTCACGATTATTGAAAAACAAATAACAAATGGACAGTTATATTTGAAATGAAAACAAAACTCGAGTTAATAGAAAAAAAACATTCAAAGGTTTCATTAAAACCATCACTTCCATGAAGTAATAAACGACATCACATCAGAACTGTTCAATATTAAAAGTACAAAGATCCAGAATACATAAATGAATAAAAATCAGAATGTATGTAAACATTGTTTTTAAGGGAAAAGTATGTTAGGTTGATGAATATATCATGACTATTATCAATTCTCTGGACTTGTAACATGTCCCAGAAATATTGGCAAAGAATTATTCCAAATAATTGAAATGAAGAATGGATGATCAACACGAAATTCCTCATCAGCGAATTCAGGTAAAGGCGCAGCAAGTTGAACAACTTCTGCAGAAGATGCTGCAGCAGCCACCACACCTTGCTCATCCACCTATGAACAAAAATCAATAGAACTTATATTAACAATTTTTAAGTGGAAGAAACAGTAGAAATAATTACAATATTTCATGTTACATAAAATCACAGATTTACTCATTATCATTTTGTCTGAAGCATTCATCAACGTGAACAATGTAAGAGGGATTAGTCAACTCAGATTTAATTATGTTGAGTCACCTTGTCTCCACTACTTACTTACTTACTACTTACGCCTGTTACTCCTAACGGAGCATCGGTCGCTGACCAGCATTCTGCAATCCCTCTGTCCTCGCCTTCTTTTCTATTTCCATCCAATTCTTGTTTATTCTTCTCATGTCTATCTACATTTCCACGCGTAATGTGTTCTTCGGTCTTCCTCTTTTCCTTTGACCTTCACGATTCCATTTGAAGGCTTGTCTTGTGACGCAGTTGTGTGCTTTCCTGAATGTGTGTCCTATCCACTTCCAGCGCCTCTCCCTGATTTCTTCCTCCGCTGGGATCTGGTTTGTTCTTTCCCACAGTTGGTTGTTGCTAATAGTGTCCGGCCAATGGATCTGAAGTATTTTGCGTAGACAACTGTTAATAAACACCTGTATCTTCTGGATGATGGCTTTTGTAGTTCTCCAGGTTTCTGCCCCATACAGTAGAACTGTCTTGACATTTGTATTGAAAATCCTGACCTTGGTGTTGTTTGACAGTTGCTTTGAGTTCGAGATGTTGTTCAGTTGTATATATGCTGCTCTTGCTTTGCCGATCCGCGCCTTCACATTTGCATCAGATCCACCCTGTTCATCAATGATGCTGCCCAAATACGTAAAGGTCTCCAACGTTAACTAAACTCTGTGAACCAATGTGGTTCCAAATCGTAGTGCGTCGTGATTGATTCTGGGTAAATAGAAATATGTGTGACATAATTGGAAATCGAAAGTCAATAACGGAAGTCAATAAACTCACGGCTCTAATGCGTCATTCAATCATGGAACACAAAAACGCTTATTGAAATATCAAGTTCATTGGACTACTGATAATACTGCAACTAAGTCCACAAAACTTCATCACCTCTAACAGATAAACAACATGACATTGGTTACAATTCGCTGATCCGTCGATTTAAATATTCAGCTCATACAGGAGATTAGTTGTAGCACAAATAGCTCAGTGGTAACATCTTCAAAAGTGACAAGGGTTGATGTGAATTCGATTTTCACAGAGGGCGACAGTTCCCCAAGGTTCCAGTTTCAGTCTTACAGTAACAACCTATCACTGAACCTAGGTCAATAGTTTCGTTACAACCACCTCCAAACACTTTCAACACATCACAGTGCACTGCAATGCCAAGCCACTTAAACTAGCGGTCACATTGCAACTTCCTCAATAGAATTTCATCACAGTTAAAGACAAAATCAATCACTCTGTCATCAGTTACTGAAAACACTTAACATGAAAACACTTTTCTGAATAAAATTAATCACAATGAGTGGTGAAATCTATCTCAAATATCACTAAGAAATAAAACCTGATTACTGCTCTAATAACCATAAGGTACCCATAACGAATTGGAATGAACAACAAACTTTCCTTTATAAAATAGTCTTTCGTGAGTGACGAAAGTATCAGTATCACACTGATATGTGAAGTATTTTCAAGAGACTGACAAAAGCCTGTGGAAAAGCGACCGATGTAATTGAAAATAACATGCCTTCAGGTGGTTGCATGGATTTTCGTAGACTCCTTAATGGATGTGATTTAAAATCCTCACACAAACCCATTACAAGAGTGATTCTCAAACATTCTGATCAACACAACTATTCCACACGGCTATCAGAATTTACCACTCAAACATAACAACATTCTGTGACTCTTCGTGGATTGCCATCGCTAACACCAAGAGACGAATAGAGTACGTTGAAGTTACGCTGCTGCTAGTCGTGGTTTTTTGACAAACTAAACAGATCGTCTTTCCATAAGTAACACTATCCTGAAATACCGATGTCACTCATGACTCCTCAGATTCTATTATATTTAAAGTTATTTCATGACAAAGAGGTTGAGTGAGAAATCAAGAAACATTATCTGAATGAAGTCCGTCCTTGTCATGCACGTTAGTGGTGTTAAGCTGACATTCAATGTTTCGATTAAGTCTTACGCATCAAACTAGCAGATATGGTTCCGAAGAAATTGCAGAACGCATTACTCGCAAGTATGAGTTCCTGTATAAACAAGTAGACAGAAATCGAATCTCAACCATACTGGCTACAACCAACCAGCGCTTCAAGTTTATTTCACAATATTAACAGGTAAATGCAATCTAACAACGAAGTTTATTGAGAAACACAAAATTTATACGACTCACTTCAAGAATAGCCTTATGGAGTATATCTCGTATACATAAATTACTTGATTCAGACATGTTTGTAAAGTTAGCTGATCCTGGACAAAAAGCCTCTCTCATTCCCATTTTCTGTAGATAACCTACAAGGCTTATAGCATTGCCTTCCTTCAGTTTGAACTTTGGTAAGTACAAGTGTATACTGGTATCCGTAAAGTTAGAAGAAAGAATTGATGAAAATTCATCATCTCTATGTAACGCATCTAGTAACTCAGATAATCCATCATTTGTGTTTGGAAGAATGACCAATAATGAGAATCTAAAACACGAAAAGGTTGGAAAAGGGATAATACAAAATAGAATATTGAGCTATAAATGAACAATCAATAATATCTATACACTTCATGACTGAATCAACTTCTATTGAGTAAACATTACATGGAGCTAAATTGCAATAGTCTTGATTCTTAGATTTCGTTTACCGAATGATGAATCCAAATATAATCTGCCTAGCATGAATTGTATTCATATGTATTTATCACTCTACGCTATTAAAATACTGTTTATTCATCAAATTCTTTATAAAACTTCTACACTTCGTATGTTTTTCTCAAGATATCTGAAGCTTAATACTCAAATGACGATACCTGGTTAGGCAAAATAATACTGCACCTGAACATACCGAAAAGAGAATTGATATAAAAATGATGTTAAGTAGAGTGACACGGTATATTTAACTATCAAGCTGACTAAAGAGAGGCAGAAATGTCGACTCATTTAATCAGTGGAGTACCAGTAAGTGTCATAGATACCTAACGTTCTGACATTAGCAAGCTGACTTCACTAAAAACTAACCGTATCCGAGTCAAGTTCAGAATACCTATTGAAATTCCCTTGTAGGTTTGCGAGGATCTCAAGATGTTCCCAATTATAACTTTGAATCATATAGGTTCACCGTTCGTAGACAATATTTTGGTAGTTCACGAATCATATTGGTGTTTGGTCGTTTATCTCTATACTAAAGTCATATAACAAAAAAATACAGTTTGTATTGCTTAGTCCTTCGTTTTCAGTTGGTCTCCAACAAAACGTTTTAGCGAATACATGTTTCACAAAAACCTTAACACGAAATTTTGCAAATCATTAGAATAAACCAAACTTAAAATATGATGTCAGATTCTGTAAACGAATGTTGCTTTCTAAAGTAAAGAAATTAGTTGCTGAGAGCTTGACAGTCAACTGTGATTGAAAAAGTATATATTAACGTGTTCAAAATGCAAAAGTAAACTACGCTTAAACAGACATAGGACAGTGAAATTACTTTTAAGTCATGTTGCCTAAGCTTTTGACTAATGACCTTAAATGTACAAAAAATCACAAACACTAAGTTCATATCTCTCAGATGACAGAAATTAGCAATCACTGACTTTAGAAATCTATGTGTATTTGTTGTAGGCTTTTGCTACATCACCCAGATTGTAGCCGAGATCGTGATTCATTATTAGGCCATGTGTTGCAATACAATAAATAAGTAAAAAGCCTGAACAAAGCTTTCTAACAACTACGGCCAAAAGATCTAATGGTTGTACCCAGTCATTCACGGTGATTTAGGAAAAACCACACCTTGAATAGTTATAACTCATAAACCAGTGCTTGGGCTACTAATACGTAGATCACCGAAAATAAGCTTGTTACGTTTGTCCTTAAACTCATTTAAAATAGGTGTTCTATACATGCTCCAAAATGCACATACTTACCTAGGATCTTTAAATGGTATCTTAATAGCACGTGATTTCAAATGTGGTAAACTGAAGGTTTCAAATGAGGAATTCATATACATTAACTTTACGTTCATCGTTGATCCGTCAAGTTTAAAGAAATCGCTTTCGTGTGAACTTCCTTGAAGAAAGGGTAGATTCCACAGACCTAGAAGACAAAACTATTTATGGAATTACTGATAATTTCAGAAATTATAAACAATGGCGAACTCAAATTTTAAAGGACATTCATAAGTATCATAGGTTAAATATATAAAATTACCTTCAAAGTATGTAGTGGTTATTACTAAAACTGATGTGTCGGTTGACAGCGATCCAGGCGAAAAAAGTTCACGAATTTTCCCTTTGGTCAGTTCACCAACCCAGTGGTTTATTCGTTTTCCAGCACCTTCCGGATCCGTCTGAAATGTCACCTACACAAAAGATTAGTCAGTTAAGATATAAACTCACAGATTCTGTTTGTGCGTTGTAATAACTCTTAAGAGTATTTTCGTAATCTTTTTTAACATCCACATCTTCTGCTGTAAACAATCCATTCCCAAACATTATCTCAACACCTTCACCACGTTCTGCACAGTTAAACAGAAGTCCACTGATTCCATGGTGAATTGTATGATGTTCCAAACAAGTAGATAAGTGCATCATTTTCATTATCTCCGTTTTTGTATTCATTTCACTGCCGGAAAGGATCATTCCCAGGGCAGTATATATATTAAAAGGAGAGAGAAAAGTATTCTCAAAATGACCTAAACATACCAATGAGCATATTTTGAAATACTGACTTACTCTGGTTTTCTTCCAACATTTCCCCATAAAGCTTTCCGCTGAAATTTGTAAGGGATTGCAATACATCCATTTGTTTGTAGTCTGTAAAAATAAAAACGGAAATAATTTGTTTCTATAGTGCTAGAACATTTAAGACGTACCAATATATTTATATTTAGAAAGAGATATTGATGATCTAAGTGGACTGTGTACAACAATTGAACGTAATTTCTATCGTAAACATGATAGTTTTATGATTTTTTCCCCATTGTTTCAGTATTATTAGCTATTTTTCCTTGATCTAATTACCTGGATGTCATCACAGTGAAATATTTGTCGCGGTATTTATGTTTATCTGACTCTTGCATCGATGAACTGTGCTGCTCTCAGACCGATATATACTAAACTTTATTCTTATGAATAATACACACCTGAAAGTCATGCTACTGAACTGAAGCTAAATACTCTAAACACGTTGATAAGAATGAATTACAGGACAGTTTATCGGCAAGACTATAATTTATGGACAAACCAAAGCATTTAAGGACAGAAAGCATTGCATTTTGGAGCAAAATTCATTTATCTATATAGTTAAATAGAACTTCAGAATTATATTTGATGTCAATTTGAGACGAAACCCCTTGTTTCAAGTCCCAACCCTTAAATTCCAATAATAATTCTTTATACTAATTTACAGACGCTTTTGACCTATAGTAAGTAGGTGGGTCGCCTCAAGGTTACTATCGTCCCTCAAGATTCGTCCACAAATGTTAGTTTCACCTGTTTATCTTGCAAGTATACTTATAACCCAATGCCTGGAGTCATAATGAAACAAGAAGCAAGTGCAATGAAATCATTTGGTTCATACAAGCTCTTGATAAAAAGATTAAATATTAGACTACTGATTAGAATTGATAAAACTTAACTAATTATCAGAGTAGACACTGCATCAAGATATAAAACAAAGTAGGTATAAGCAACATTACTAGGAAATTAAATCGATGTGTTTTTAGTGAGGTAATTCAAACAATTCATCTTCGAAAAAATGTAATTTTTAGGGCACGCATTCTAAAACAAGCCATTTAAAGAGAGTTCTAACGATAAAGATAGATTTATTTAGGAACATTTTGAGGCAATGGAGAATATTATTCAGCTGAGAAACAAATCTCGTCTGGAAGTTTCATTTACAGTGAAATTATTTACTCTGAACCAGTACACAAATATTCCAAATTTCCCAAACATCAGAGACAAGTAGGGCCAACCTTAGGAACTTCAATAAAATGGACATGTACTTTTAGGACCAGAAAACAAACCAGTACCTGATATACACAAACCTTGAACCAGAAGGTTTGAAAACCAGCAACCTGTTAGTTTACCAGATGTCGCTACCTATATATGTTCTCGTCAAGGTTGTTTTCAATTTTCAACATAGTTGTTTTAAGTTTACACATAATAGTTATTTTTCTAGTCTCCATTTCTTGATTTTTAAACTCTGTTTTTATGTATACCAATTCTAATAAGATAGTTAATCTATCCATTGAACTATACTCCTCCAACCGAGTTCTAACAGTGTCTTTTGAAGTTAGTGTTGAGATAGGAGCGGTGTAGTTGTTGAATTAGTAGCTATAATGTTTACGAATGTCCACGTAGGTATTTTAGTAGAAAGATTATAAAATTTAAGCTCAGATAGATGGCAAGATAGCAAAGGGTTTATTATTAAGTAACCTGGTGAAATACACGTGAACAGTTAATAGACAGATAACTTAAAGAAATTAAGACGGATCAACAAAATTGACGCGGGATTAACTGAAATACCTTTTGTTTTTAGAAGTAGCAAAAGCTAAGAAAATTTTTTTGACTCAAGTGGATCACTACGTTTCTGTGTTTCGCGAAACCCATTATTTTGATTTTATTACTTCCAGCCGTCATGTAAATAACCAACGACACCACCCTCTATTGACCAACGAATCAGTCATCACTACAAGTAACGGAAAGTCTGTGAATTCCCTTTTTTAAAAACATTGCACGCCGCCGATGTTTCCAAATCAGTCAAACGAATGTCAGTTGACTCACTATCTACCGAAAGTTCCGTATATATTGTCGTTATCGATAGTGTAACAGACGAGGGACAGCATCTAATTAATTCAGCAACTCTGTTATACAGAACATCAGCATTTTGATATTGTTTACTCGTATAGTTAACAAGTCTTCTGAAATATCCTCAGAAGAAATCCCGACAGAGTGCAGCTTGTCCTTCAGTAAATGTGAAATTCGTTGACGCCTTTACCGAGTGTATCCTTAGATGCATGGTGTTGGAAATACCACAGTAGTGAACTATCGCTAACATCTTTGTGACAATACACAACTGTCTCCGACATTTCTTGATAAGTGACTTTCAAGTACAATAATAGTACAATAGTAGCAATCACTGAGTAGTTGTTTGACCAATGGTTTACAAGAAGATTTTAGGCTCAAGAAGCGAAAACATGTGTAATATTGTGGGACAATTCAGCTCTCAATGGAGTCAGCTCTTCCACTACTTTAATATACGCCTGATCATCCACAAATTATACAACATATTAACTTTGATTTCCCAGAGAAACTTCATATTATCAGTATACCGTAATTTACTTAAGACAGCAGTCAGTTACGTAATCCCGACCAAATTTACTTTCTCATATTTATTACTCTATTTCTAATCAGATATTAGAATCATAGAAAACTGAATACTTAAACGGTCTGAAAAATACGGCGTTCATTTTCTGATCCTTCATAGAAACAGGTTAGTTCATTTATTTACTCCAATAATTTACGTGCATGATCGTTCATTGCACAGACAACAAAAGTAATTCAAACAACGTCTAACAATAGGGAACATGCTTCGTCTTGGTGGACAGTAAGTCTACATGAGGCCAACTGAAGAACAGTAACCTAGTATATCATCTGATGGGCATGAATTTTGGGTTAAACAAAACAACACACTTAATCAAGTTTGGACGACATCGGGAAGTAGTTAAAAATCAAACATGAGGATAATTTAATGATGGTAACTATGAGCAGGCCAGAAGACAATAATAATACGATCGGCTTTAAATGAGTAGAGGAGTAGCGTAACATGTCAGATGAAACAGGAATACGGAAATGTGGAACGTACATATGTAAACACTTGCACACGTACATGTGCATACACATATAAACGAAAAGTGAAGCCGTGCCTTATACAGTCAAAAGTTTCTCTAGAAAAAAACAACGTACCATACATCTAAATGCGATGACGCAATACACCTGTTTAGTACTTGCAAGTAAACATAAATATGTTTGACAGAACGAGACTAGTTTTCTCTCCTAAGAACCAATGGATTTTTCATGCCTCTAGGTAACCTTCGTGTCATTGATAGAAGAAACCAGACAAGTAGTCAATAGGTCTTTATTTAGATCTTCACGCAGTCACAGTGGAGCTTGGGATTATTTGTTAAGACAAACAAAACTTCTCTACATTCAATATAAGATAATAGGAAATATAAAGTCTATACAAAATTAGGAAGTGAATGAAAACGTGAACTATACTGTTTCGACATATGCTTAGTTGTTTGGGGTGAACTCTTAACCAACCAACCTAAGCTGTTACAGATTGACAAACACTTGGAATAGACAGTCAAAAAGCAACAGCGATCAAGGACTTCACACATCTTGCTTTGAGTCATCTACTACGTTGTTGTAATTAGTCTGTCATTACACAACAACAATAATAAAGCGATCAGCCGAAATTTGATCAGAGTGAGATAAAAAGACTTTCATTAAAAGAGCTTGAGAAATGTGAAACATGGCTGCTTGTGTCCTGGATGAAAGTTCATCCACAAAGCAGGGCAAAAGCTCTAAGAGGTAGACGGCGTTATAGAATATGCTGTACAGGGATTTTCAAAGCATAAAATTTCTCTACGGCGATCGAGTAGTTTGAAAGCACCCCCCAAATTGAGTTCTTATTCTCAGCCAAAACTCCAGTTCTATCAAAGATGTGATACGCATTTAAAGTCATTAAGAAAAACGTGATCGTGCATAATCTGTGACTATGTTGGCAAAAGAAAAAACATACGAGAGCATGTGAAGCCGCTGCGCACATCATTCACCACATTTTGTTGGAACATCAAAAATGGAACGAACGAAGTCAATGTGTGATAGCACACAATCAAAATAATTTCTTTGATACTTCAAAATGGTTCAGATCGTAAAAGTTGCTTATTTTTTATGTAGATTAGATAAATTCAAGAATTGTCCAGAGAACTATCCAATAGCCTACGGGCATTCCCGTCGCTTGCGGTCTCTGGAAATAGATACCGATAATTGGCGTGCGACTGGAAATTATCGAAGATCCAACCACCACTTATCGTTACCCCTTGTCATACATCCAAGACCTGACATCTATCTTAAAAGTTATGGCTGTCTTTTCGAAAATCGATTCTCTTAAGGCGAATAACCAAGCTTCCAAAAATGGCTTCCGTCAATTTGTTGGAACACCATGAAATTTTGTCGATTCTTTTTGGCAGAAACTTCTCAAGGAGATTTATCGATGACGTGCTCAAGAGTATCAAGTCCGTGATTTCTTGTAGCCATGGAAGGGATAGGGGGGTTACAACTTTCTTTTGTACACATAAATTGGGGTAATATGTACGAATTCCAATGGCTTCAGCTATATGCAGGAAATAGGAACGAACTCCGTTGGGAAATGATCATTTACACACTTATTACGTAATGATTTTTATGTTTTGTGATTACTATTTCTAGTCTATTTACCCATGTTTGACCCTCTGTTCCCAACGTTTAACTGTTGATAAGACTTTTGTTATCGTATTTTATTATTCTTACCACTATCAGTACACCTGTCTTCCTACTATCTATTTGTATATTTACCCACTATGTGTAATAATAATAATAATTTATTCCCAAATAACAGTTTGTTACATGAGGCATGCCAATTTACAAGCAAGATCAAATTGTTACAGACGATACATTATCCACTGTAGTAACTTACTCAGCTGGGTTGATAATTTAAAAGATATGAATGTAGATGGTTTTAGTCAGTATCACAGTTGGTGCGCCACATGAAAGTTGCGTTGAGAATGTATAACTGGTGGTCAAAGATAGGTCCATTGAAGGTGGGAGCTTCTAGAAATCGCAACCTTATGTCCCTTTGGAATATCCATGGCTTTAAGGATGGTGCAGGATGAAGTCACCCGTTCCATATCTCAAGGGGGGTGGAAGAGGGAACAAGTAAAAGAAAACACTAGAGGCAGAGTAGCCAATATTCATGAAGGAATGTTTAAGGTATGATTACTCAGTCTAATTTTCTTTTATTAGGGTATTTGTTAAGCAATAGAATTTTAATAGGTCAAAGAGAATAAGTGTCAACAAGGTATGGGCGGACATACAACTGACAAGTGGAGGGGGTTCAGAAAGGAGCTGAGAGTATGGGATTATGTGTGGTCATAAAATATTGTGCTAAAAACAGTTATTATGATATACAATTGACTATCTTCCTTTTTTTCGAAGCTGTTGGAGCCCTTTTCATCTTTTTTTGTATTAGCATTTTTTTAATTTTTAGTTTATTTTTTTAGTTTTTAGGTATTATAGGGTCTTGAGTAGGCTTCGTATATTATCGAATTGTCTAGTTTGCTTGTAATAGGATTACCGGGTAGGAAGTGAAACCAATTCAACGTTCGTAACACGATATAATGAGGTATTTTGCATGATAAATCAGCATTAATACCTTAAGTTCGTGACATCCCACAAAACTATAAGGAGCCGTAATTAAACAAAATGTTCTGCCCTACAGACATGGGTGAATTGAAGTTATCTTCCTACTGTCATGTTTGCTGGTGAGTAACGCCCCCCTCCTTTTGTGATGTTAGGCTCTCTTACGTTTGTGATAAGTATGAATACTGCTTTAATCAAAGCAGTAAGGTAACGGAATTTGACGGCTTTAATACAATCCACACCGATTGCTTCAGTTTGTTTAGTTCAGGCATATCACATAGTAGTGAGTTTAGGCTACAGTGAGCGTAAATAAGGCATCCTCCGCCTCGTCCATTCAATCTATCACTTCTATATAGGAAATAGTTATCAAGAGATATACTTCGGTCGGAAATATTACTGTTTGTCCATGTTTCAGATATCATTATAAGTGATGGTTGATACATGGATACAAACAGGGCTATATCCGACTTTTTGTTGCAAATCGATCTAGCGTTGATAAGACATATATTAAGCAAGTGGCCTACTAAGTTAAAATGGGTGAGGGTATCTCGGATAAAGTCGTCGTAACCCTCGCGGGTGCGAGATGAGTTTGAAGTGAGGGACAGAATTTTCTTCATTAGCTCGGTATTTTGAT